ATTAAATTGATGTAAAGCAGACTAACAAGGTAGAAACATTCAAGTCTATTTAATATGTTTTATGTGATGCGGAGCCTTCATGGGAAAATGAAGACCCCAAGAAGTGGTAAATCCTAAATGCTTTTCTACTAGATTGAACAAAGGCAGGCAACTGTGGAAAAGTAACTAAAATATATGGAGCGCCTAAAAGAAGATAAGAGTTGTTACTGAATTTGGTCCCACTCTTCACTGCCTGCAAAATCAATACTCTATCAGTGTTGATAGAAAGGAAAGTTGCCTTTAAACTGAATGCCGGCAATCTGGGGAGAAGGTGGACTCAGCATCCTCCAAAACCACATCTGAAGTTTCTGCTCGGCCATGAAAGTTTTTAAAAGGAAACAGGGAAGTAATGTTAGTTAACCATTGAGATCGGGGGCCAGAGCCGTCCCCATACCCCCCTGTGCAGGCTTGTCGACTCCTCCTGATCTTTCTTTCTTTATTTAGAAATAAGCCAAAGGCCAAATGAATTTTAAGTAAAATAAGTCCTTGGGGACTCATGATCTTTATTTAGATGCTATTTTGTTCACATGGTTTGTTCAAGAGATTACTGAAGGGGAAGCTAGGAAAGAGATCCGGTCATCTGTTAATTACTTACTCTTCATGTCTACTTCACTCATCTAGGGAAAGAACCAACAAGCTAGGCAAATTATTGTGTGATCAAAAGATTTAAAAGGGGTACTAGGGCCGGAGATGAGTAGAGCATGGGGATGCCTGGTTTAAGATTAGTGTAAAGATAAAGAGCTCTTTCCTGCAAAGAGCTTTTTATCTGCCAAAAGCTGCTCACTTGTCAGAAATCCCCCTTGTCAGAACATTGTTCCCCCTCTATGGGATCATGGGTGAAAGTCCGTCTTCTGTAACTTCTTCATGCTGACATAGCACACTGTATCCTTAGAGTGGAAGATGTCGACACGGGTATGTAGCATCTCCCTGCTGACAGTTGCCTCGCCCCTTTACATACATGGGCAGAACAAGCTACAATTATTTTGATGCCCACAAAGATATAGATTATTATGAGCAGTAGTGTTAATCCCATTCTCTTAAGGCCAGTTCTTGGAGCTGTGCTAGCCATAGTTTCAGTACTGCTCAAGATGGAGCTAACTGGTCATCATGCAGTTAGCTTTTTCCCTCTGGTGGCAGTTTCAGTATCTGTAAAACAACTCAGGAAGGTGCATCAGACACTGAGTCTGTGACTCTATTGTCCTAATCATTAGCTGCTTGAGCCTGCTCTTTTGTGACTCAGGGAGGCCTGGGAGACTTCAACTTTTCTATAAACAAGAGGCAGGAGATGTGAATGGGCATTTGTATCAATACTTGGGGAGGGGTGGGGGGTGGCCCACAGGGGTCTGCTTGATTCCAGACTTACTCTGACAAGGTCTGTTTGCACAGAATTCTCTTGGCCTTGACACCCTCCCCAGCCCCCACCACCCGTCTCTGGTGATAAAAACATTTCTTTCCTCTTGGTATAGGAAGGGTATCTTTTTTTTTTTTTTTCTGGCTGTGTTGGGTCTTTGTTGCTGCATGTGGGCTTTCTCTAGTTGCGGTGAGCGGGGACTATTCTTCGTTGCAGTGCGCGGGCTTCTCATTGCAGTGGCTTCTCTTGCTGTGGAGCACGGGCTCTAGGCGCGTGGGCTCCAGTAGTTGTGGCTCGCAGGCTCTAGAGCTCAGGCTCAGTAGTTGTGGCCCACGGGCGTAGTTGCTCCACGGCATGTGGGATCTTCCCAGACCAGGGACTGAACCTGTGTCCCCTGCATTGGCAGGTGGATTCTTAACCACTGCACCACCAGGGAAGCCCAGGAAGGGCATCTTTCACAAGGGCGTTTTCTCCTGCTTTCAGGAAGAAAAGGGGAGGAGGGTCACAGCACCCTTCCTGCACCTGCTGTTTTCCAAGTGCCTTTAGCTCAAAATAATCATTATGCCAAAGTGGCATATTTAGGAGTGGCATATTCTGCCAGCCTTCAGCTGGAACTGGAACACCCAAGCACCCATCCTCAAAGATTCTGATCCTGGGCTGGGGTTCCAGGCAGCAGAACCCTTTAAAGATACTGAAGATTGAGAATCGCTGGGTCAGAGTCAGAGGAAGTGTGGGAGTTTCACATTGACTTCCTGTGCCCCATTTAGTAATTAGACCGAAATGGCTGTAATGGCTGAGGACTGATTTGCAACCGCTCTGGAATGTGTGAGCAACTGGGGAGCGTGCAGCAGCTGCTTCCCCAGGAAACAAAACCACTGTGCGCGTGTTTTGATACCAGTTTGGCAACAAGATAAGAGTCCTAACGCACATCAAAACATCAGGCAGGTTGTCCGTCCACTTTCCTCTTGGCAGATGCCAAGAACTTGCTTGCCCTAAATGAAATAAGCCGTCAGCTGACAGACCTGCAAGCCTTCAAAGCTGTCCTCTGAATTCATAGATGAGCTTGAGGAAGAAACAGAACCAAACCGGCTTGTTTTGAGATAGACACCCTGGCGGGGTAAGTGATCCAGCCCGAAAGCCAGTCAGTTCAACTAGAGACTTGTTCCAAATATTTGGCAAACTCGGGTGTTTGTCTCACTTGCTCTCCCCCTCGTGGGATCTAAATTGAATAAGCATCAGCCTGCAACTTGCCAGTTCTCCAAAGCTGGACTTTCAGAAATGTCTTTTGCCTCACTTCTACTTACAGATTAGGTAGGTAATGTTGATTTTTAGCTCCCACAGATACATAATTCAAAACAGATTCTCGGGGAAAAGGATTTCAGCGAGTGTGGAAATCCTCTCCTTTTACCTTCCATTCTACAGGGTCTGAGCCCAAGGTCTGGAACCTGCACTCCTTCGCAGTGTTAGCAGGTTGATTTTTGTGTTTGCATACAACTGGCACTGCCTGTCCTTGACTCTCTGGGGAAGAACTGAGGAAATGAATCTCCTCAGACACCAGCTTCCCTCTCGGAAAAGTGGTAAAGGGAAAAGCTTTCTGAGATGTTTAGGGCTGCGATGGAGCCTCATTCACTGCTGTATTCCCAGGGCTTGGCGGAGTGCCTGCCTCAAAGAAGGCACCAGGTAAATCTTTGTTAAATAAATGCTTGGTATTAAACACACGTATTTATTATGCATTTGGTGCCCAGTATTGGTGGCTGATCGACATCCTGAGAGCTGTTTGTTTATATCAACATTTTCCTATTTGATCTGAGAATCCCTAATTGGATCATGTTGGTGGAACCGACTTTAAAGCCCAGCCTGGGACAGGCAGAGGCTGTATCAGATGTCCTGAAAAGGATGTGATTTTTAACTCCTGCTCTCCAGTTCTAAGCTGTTGTGGGCACTTGGTAAATATTAATGAAGGATGAGGCTGGAGCTATAGTGGGAGGCTCCTGGGAGTCTGGGACATGGTAAAGGCTTTAACGGCAGTCTTTGGCGGGCAGCCTGACTCTGACCTTCTGGCAGAGAAGCTGGCTCAGCCAGACGGCAAGATGGAGGCTTCACCCTGCCCAAGCTTCCCCAGCACCCCAGTCAGCAGCCAGTCAGTGTCTGCTCTGGGCAAAGCACATTTGGGGCCCTGAGGAGGACACAGGGGTGACACGGATGCTGCAGGGAACACAGGGTGGGCTCTGGAGCCTTAGTGTGTGGCTTTCAGCTTTAAACTGGCCTCAGAGTTTGGATCTGTACAGTGGAGATCAAAATAGCACCTACTCCACAATTTGTGAAAATTAAATGAAATGATATAAGCAAAACTATTTAGCACAGGGCAGAGGGAGGCAGAGTAAGTATCCAATACAGTACACCGTGTGTGTGTTTGCAAGCATCCAATACATTACCCGTATGTTTATACAGGTAAGATCCGGAGGGTGATTTAATTTTGTAATACAATTTGGGGCCAATGCAGTGTTTGTCGTTGTTGTTGTTTTAAAGTAACACAATCAGATCCATGAGGGTAGAAAGGAGGGTGAGATAGGAGTATAGGAGGGATGAATTTGAAAGATATTTGGATGATGATAATAAAAAAGAATTAGAAAAGAGAAGTGCTCGGACTGAAACCAGACTGTTCATTTTACAAATCACTATATTAAAAAATATATTGTAAGGGTCTTTTCTTAAGTCAAAGTCTTGAATCCATTAAATACAGCCTGGCTGTAATCTGGTTGGATGTCTAGCTTCTTGAATTTTTAGGAAATAGATTACACTTTCAGTAAGGTCGCTTACTATGTACATCTTACTTGACTATAATGATTAGCAGCTGAAAGACCCATGCTCAAAAATATCTTTTCTATTCTACACATTTCACCAAACTAATTTGATTAACAAACTCCTCTTTTAAATTGGTTTTCTTAAGAAACTTAATTAAGGTCCATGGCTACAAGAACATAGGGGTGGGGGATGATGGTAGCAGAAAAACTGAAGATTAAAAAACGAATTATGTGGGACTTATAAAAAGTACATATAAATCCTGTAACAAAAATGCGTACATGTTCATAGAAATTGGTGTTCTTTAAAACACAAACTCTGGGTTGCTATCCATTTACTCCAAAGAAGTTGCCCTTTTCCTCTTCCCTGCACCTTGGTCGCATAATCAACTGAACTCTACCTTTTCTCCCCGCTTTCACTTACAAACTGGGCAGAAAGGGAAATAAGGGAGCCCCATTCTCGCAACAGATTTTTCTTGTGCGCTTACAGTGTGCTCTGCGCTCGGAGAAAGAGGTGTGTGTGTGGGGGGGTGGGCAGACACGTAGCCGCCACACCGTGTGACTGAAGTTCAGGGCCAGTGGGACACAAAAGAGGAACTGATTAACTTGATCCGCACCTGTGTCGGAAACGCCTTCACAAGGGAGGCAACTACTCAAGAATTTCGAGGCTGCGGGCAGGGAGGACAAGAGGGAACCGCAGAGGAACCGCAAGCTGGAGAGCTGCAAAGAAGTCCCCGTGGCCGGGGAACATAGTGACAGGAGTGTCAGGACTAAGTGGCCAGGGGCCAGCTTCAGAAATCAACTTGCTGGAGTACCTTCCATCAGTAAGAGATCGAGTACACGACTCGGTGAACTTAACTCGGGAACTCAAAGCCCCTTCGCTGACTCCCCACGGCGGGGAACATCGGGTTCCAAGGGCCGCGGGCCCCGCGAGCCGGGCAGCCCGGGTGAAAGCCGCTGCCCGGGCGTGCGGCTGACGCCCCTTCCCCGGCGCGCCGGGCTCGGGCCCCGGAGTCGCCACGAGGGGGTGGCGTTGGCCGTGTTCTGTAAGTGCCGGGCGAGGCCGGGCGGGCACCTCCGGGAGAGGCCGGTGTCACCCGGTAGCCGGCGGAGGAACGGCAGCCGGTGCCGCGGCAGTTGTTCCCGACATGCTCTTCTCGGGGAGGATTTCAAACCCTCGGCCGCAACCACCTCCCCTCCCCCGGCCCCGTCGGGCCTCAGCAACAGGCGGTGGCCCACGTATCATTGGCCGGGCCGCGCAAAGGCGTGTTTTGATTGGCCGCCGCGGCCCCCGGCCCCGCTCTAGCGCTCACCGCCGCCTCCATTTTGTCGGTAGAGGCAGAAGGGGAAGGTCGGTCGGGACGCTGAGGTGGCCTGCAGCTGTCTCATCGGTGCTCGTGGGCTTCGCTCGTTCCGTGCCTCGTCGCTCCCTGGAAGGGGAGGGGGCTTCGACGCCGAGCAGGAGCCGCCGCCGCCGTAGTCCCGGGTTCGAAGTCGGTGAGTGGCGGCGGCGCGGCGGGTGCGGCCATGTTGGCGGCCGCGCTCCCCATTGTTGGGGGAAGGAGGCGAGATCCGAGGCCGGGCGGGCGCTAGCGGCCCGGAGGAGCGGGTTCCCGGGCCGGGCTCGAGGAACGCTGAGCCGCTCGGAAGCCCAGCGCCGTCGGCAGAACCGAACTTTCCGGGCTTGCGTTGGGAATGACTCACGATCCGGGAACTAATTTCTTTAGGGCTGTTAACATAGTCTGGAAGGGCCGCTCACCTTTTCGAAAAGAAGAGGGCTTCTTATTTGTTCGGTAACTTGGTTTCTTGGAATATCAAATGAAATCTCGAATGTTTAATATTCACGATAAGGAGGCATTTTTTTGTATTTAAGAACTGACTTCGCTTGTTACGGCTTGTGAAACTTATTTTAAGACGGGGAGGAGTCAAGAGTTCATATCCAAAGGAAGAGCTGCATGACGTAGACACGTTGGGAGAGGAGGTTTTGTGAAAACAGATATGTGATGTGTCCAAAGACTGGGAAATTCTGTGGGACTTTCAAAACATGGTCTTTAGGAAAGATTTTAAGCCCATTTCTTGGCATGGCTGTAAAAGTTAATGCTTCCGTGGTTTAACATTTTGGTCACAAAATCCGTGAGAGAATCTGAAAGGTTCCTAGGAAAAAGATGCAACTTGTTGCGGGATTTGGCGGACACCACTCCCCAGATTCCTCAGGGTTTCCTGGATCTCGAGGGTTTTTAAATGATGACAGTTACAAGGTCAAAGCCATCTTTAGAGACTTTATTTTCTGCCTTTTAGTTCAGGAAGTAGTCACTATTTATGTAGTAAATATAAAGGATCACTTTCTCCTGTGTTTTTGAATTGAAATAATGAAATATTTGCTTTTCTAGCTAAGACTTCTCTCAAACTTGTGTGCTGAGGAGACTCAGATGTTGGCCTCAGCTCCTAGGCTGAACTCAGCAGATCGGCCCATGAAAACTTCTGTATTGAGACAAAGGAAAGGATCTATCAGAAAGCAACATCTATTATCCTGGGCGTGGCAGCAAGGAAGAGGACAGGTGGTGGAAATCCTGCAATCTGAAAAGCAGACTGAAAGGTATCAAAACCTTCCCGTTGTAATGGGGCATTTTATGATGGACTCATCCTAAACTGTTTTTATTTTTAAATAGAGGATTATTCAGAATTGTGGATAAGCTCACTGTTCTTAGGAAGGTATAATAAAGTGCATGTAATGAAGTGTGAACAGTATAGTGAAGTTGAAGCAGCCGAATAGCACATATTTGGGTCTTGCCCAAGATTTCTGGAGTTACAAATTGGAGCTACTGAAGTTTCTTAAAGTTTTGAACTATTTGAAGTGGAATTCTACTCAATATTCTGTTTACATTCACTTACAGGTGACAAAGAAGCTGAAGATGGGTGGTGGAGAGAGGTATAACATTCCAGCCCCTCAGTCTAGAAATGTTAGTAAGAACCAACAACAGCTTAGTAGACAGAAGACCAAGGATCAGAATTCCCAGATGAAGATTGTTCATAAGAAAAAGGAAAGAGGACATACTTATAATTCATCAGCAGCTGCATGGCAGGCCATGCAAAGTGGGGGGAAGAACAAAAATTTTCCAAATAATCAAAACTGGAACTCTAGCTTATCAAGTCCCACCTTACTTTTTAAGTCTCAAACTAATCAGAACTATGCTGGAGCCAAATTTAGTGAGCCGCCATCACCAAGTGTTCTTCCTAAACCACCAAGCCACTGGGTTCCTGTTTCCTTTAATCCTTCTGATAAAGAAATAATGACATTTCAACTTAAAACGTTACTTAAAGTACAGGTGTAAAATGAGATAAAGTATTATGTGTTTAAATTTAGTCATATTTAAGGATAATTGGCAATTGTCTCAGACCAAATTCACTAGGGAATTTAATCTGTAAAACTGCTAATTAATGTAGAAAATATAATCAGACTTAACTGTTTTGTGTGTTATGTGCACTGTGATGGTAGAATCAGTGCAAGTTAAAATAACTAAATTATTGATAATTGTACTTCATATCAATACTAAGTGTTCTCAATTGAGTAACCATTCAAGTGAAACCAGTCAAGTTTAGATTTGGGGAATGGTAAAGGAATCAACTTTTTCTATTGCCTGTTGGGGGAAAATAGTAATTTAAGATTATCATTCACGGATCAGCAGAGTGACTTGTTGAGATCTGGCAAATATGATTGTAAGCATCCAGTTAAGACATACAGGGGTTGAAAACTAGCTGAATATTTGAAAGTTTAATGTCCTAAACCAGTAATATGCCAACAATCTGATGCACTGCCAAAAGAAAATGTGAATTTTTTTTAGAGTATAGTTGTATTTTAGTGAACTGTATGGTTGGGAATGCGGAAAGGGCACTAGGGGCTATTTAGAATGAAACAGTGTACCCCATTGTCCCTGTAACTGACATGCAGTGGATAGGTGTCTGCCAACAAATGCACCGAAACCATTTTATATAGAAATAGTATTCGGTGTTCACCGAGTAGCTTTCAGAATACATTTTAGTATTATGGCACTGCACAAGCTATTCTTACAGTGATCTGGCTTCAAATCATCCCTGCAAAGCTTGTTTAAAGTTGGGAGCTATATAATGTGAAAGTTTTACGTACCTAGGAAAGAGCCATGTAAATATATGTAATAAACTTGTAGCATATGTAAAGTTTTGTTGGCGTTTATCCTACAAAAATAGAATATTTTAGTATGAATTTGCTGAATGTAAGACATGGACTCTTTTTATACTATGGCCTAATTTTAAAGGTCCAAAAGAACCTTGTTTTTAAAGTTTGCCCTTGTGCTAAAGTGCCACTGTATGTATACTATAATTGATCTTGCTGTAAACTATATTTCAAAGTAAATCCTAGTGTAAGAAGTTTTATATAACTGAAAAGGTAGGTTTTAAGCTGCTAAAACACTTCCTATTTTTGAGATATGTGAAATGCAGTATGGGATTATTTTAATTTCTTAAGCCCAAAGATTAACTATTAAGGGGTTCCTCTTACCTTAAAAGATTAATTTTGGCTTTCAACAATTTGTGTAACCTATGAGTATAGTGTACAATGCCAGTGGGGTTTTTTTTTGGTCAACAGGTACAACCCAGGGGACCACTCATTGCAAAAGATGCAATTTCTTGCCTAATACCATGATAACATGTTTTGCTTACCTTAAAGATAAGCGCTAATTGTAACAGCCAACTCAGTAGTAAACTAAAAGGAAAGTGTGTGTGTGGGGGGTCTATTTAGAATGAGTGTAGGTGCCCTCTTCTCTCATTTGGCAGCTTTTTTGATACTTTTAAGCAGAATGGGTAAGTTGTATTTCTCCAAATTCAGGTGAGATGATATTGCCCATATCAAATAATGATAAAAGACAAGTTTATATAATAGTACTTAATGTACATACAGGAATTTGAAGCATGAAATTAAAAAATAAAATTGCTTTTTCCCGTGTCTTGTTTTTATTGTATAAAAAATTGTTACGACCATGTAATAGTCTTAGAATGCACATAATTAATTCTACTGAAATAACAGTAGGACCGTTGGTTTTAAGAGGCAACCAATTTGCTAACTGATAATAGATATTTGGATTAGCCAGCTATACCGTTAAAAAAGCAACTGTGGCTTCCTCCTCCCAGCAGGGCTAACAGTAAAAGGCCACAGAATATTACTTTGGAAATTTACATAAAGCTTCTGAATTCATCTCTTACCAAATTGAGTAAAGCAGGTTTAATCGCCTGTCTCCCTCTTCTACATTTTAAGATGACTTCGGTAAACACAAGAGTTCTTGTCAATTTGAGAAATTCTGCAAATTTTTTTTTCTATAAACAATTTTCACAAGGGGACCTTGGAGGAGAGAAAAGACACAAGAACTAAACTGGCTTTCTAAAATACGTTCCAAATGATAGGATAACTCAAACTAGTTCAAGAAAAATCTTCTAATTTCTACACTAAACAAGCAGTGAATCCCAGAGCCAGGTTGTATTTTCTCATGCAAACTGTCGGAAGAAATTGATTTGGCAGAAATAATGAGTCTTTTTTTCCTGTTTATTCCCAGTGTAATTTCTATTAACAGTGGCAAGAATTGCCCAGTTCTTTGCAGTACTGCACTGGAATCCCGCTTGATTCAACAATTTTCATCCCAAGCATCTTTATGTTAGGTTTTGATGTATACATGTAAGTATAGTATATACTAGATTTCTGGTTTGGGACTGACTCCAGTGGTAAAAGTGTTCAGAGAATTAAGAGCACATTGGCTTTAACTACAAAAAGTTTTAATAGCTACGGTTAACTTAAAAAGTTAATAATCGTATTTTATATCTCATACCTTAGAAAGATACTAATAAAGTTATGGTTAGCGTACAGGAAGTATGGTTGACATGAATTTCTCAAATCGTACTTGTAAGAACCAAAGTTGTTAGAGCTCATCTACCCTGTAGGGCTGCAGTCAGCCATAGCATGAGCCTTGTCAGTGTTACAATTTAAACTTGTCATACCTTTTTGATGGCAGCGTATATAGTACAATGGAATCTTGAGCCCATAACCTATCTTTACATTTCAGTTCTGGTAAATTCTCTTCATCCCAGAAGCACAAGGTGGAAAATAACTGAAGGAAAACACTAGTTTTCTAGTGTTTAATTGTCTCATAGGCAATTACTTCGTAAACCAAGTGGGATAGAGTACATCTCAAACCTCTTACACAAATGAGGAAAGCCTACTGAGCCACAAATCTGTCAGGCAGAGCTAAACCTAAAAAAAAAAAAAAAATCCAAGATTTTTTGGATCCTAGACCAGTTTATTTAATTATCTAGCATTCAGAGATGTGCTCTACAACAAACGACACAAAGAGGCCTTTTACTTCTTTACAAACTACTCTGTCAATTATCAACAAAATGAATTTACATGCCTTGCTTTGTACTCCAAATAAAAAAGGAATCCCCCATCTTTAACATAAGGGTGAAACAACTGTTAGGAATACATAGAAGCAACACAATAAACATAACTGACACTGCTGGAGGAAGGGACAAAGGGAAAACCCCCCAAAAAAGATCCTTTTCCATAGCAGCTAGCTATGTCTTATAGATGTCAGTAGTTGAAGATGAAAAGGTTGCTGACTTCTTTCATCAGTGAGGACAATTCACTCCTGGGACTCCTAAAAGCTCTGACAGACCGCCTAGTTGAACACTTATTTTATTCCTGTCACAGCCTCCCCACTTCAAAATTATCTCAGGATTTTGTAAACAGGAGTATGGTCAAAATGCAACACGAGATTGAAATTTGGAAAGCCAGGCTGGAAAGTGAGTCAACAGCTGTTGAGATCTTAGATTACATTTAACCCCTTTTCCATCCAAGAAAGTTATAAATACTTTTTGTAATTAAATAATTTTCATAAATCTATTAAATCTTCCTTCTAAGTGAACTCTAGATTCCATTATATTAATTGTATTGTTATAAAATTTCCCCATTTGTAAAAAAGAAAAAAAAAATGAACCAAATGAAAAACCTTGGACACTTATCTAGTATCTGCCACTTACTTGCTGTGTGATCTCGGGCAAGTTTGAAAAATTAAAACGGGTAAAAATACCTCCGTTTCATATCTCCCTTAGGTATATTCTGCTATATTTTCAAAATCTTTATAAATTAAAGGCTTAAACACTTCTGTATTTTTAGATGAGTAACTTTACACAAAGTTTTAAATGTGGCAGAAATAAAGACAAAAACCAAATATGCAAGTGATGAAATCAATGTATAGATAAACTTCATATCCTAATAAGGAACTAAGGAATCCAAAACATTTTGTGATACTATAAAAGTTATTTATTCACTATACACAGAACATGTCCCCTATAAAATGTACATGTAAATCGCTAGAAAGTATATTTGGTGAACATTTTCTCAATTACAGAACATACTAAATCAGTTGGGAATAACAGCTATCTGCCTCAAAATAATCTAATTATAGCACCCAGAGTCTCCTTTACATCTGATGCAAAGTTAAATATTTTTGGGGATTGTTTCCTAACGTGTTTGAGGAGGCAGAGTTAACAATTATATATAACTCTAGTATATTACAGTCACTGCACAATAAATCAGTTTATTACAGATTAAAACATATCATTTTTTCATTATTTGTATTAATGGGATGAAAACAAATACTGGATACTTTTAAATGGCAAATAACCACAAAATTACTTATATTTGATAGTATATTGGGTTTTATAATTACATAGGATATAAATGGTGTAAAATAGTTAGGAATAATACACCTCAAACAAAACAGTGAGGCCACACTGTAATGATTCACTAGATTGTGCTCAGTAGACATTTATTGAATAAGTGAATTTTATCTATTTTTCTCCCCAATTACCCAGTACAATTTTTGCCCACAGTAAGGGCTCAGTAAATGTTTGCTGAATATACTGACTAGGAAAGAGGTGAGAAGAGATGGACCCTCTTAGCTGGATGTCAAGTATAATTGGAATTTATGTGGGAGAGTGTTTAAGGAAGATGTAAACCGCATGTGGCATACAAGTAAGGAAACTCAGATGCCAACAAAGCAAACCATTAAGCAGAAAACACTGGCACTGGAATAAACAAAGGCAAGATTTGCCAATAGCAAAAACAGAACTGACTTTAAGAGATAAGCAAGTTTATATTGGACCATACCTTTTCTCACCCAATTCAGTTTGAGACAGACCAATAGAGGCACTGTAAGAGACTATGGCTGTCTTCCTTGATATTCAAACATCCTAGTTTCCAATTTAACATGGACCTGTTACCCATGAATCAATATAAACCTATTCAGATTTAGGGATTAGTTTCCACAAGTACAAAGTTGAATTTCCTTTTATTTGTCCTAAAAGGCTTACTTTCAAACTTGAAGGGACTTCAATTATTCCATGTAGTTTCGATAACATTCTTTTATCTTTTCAGACCAGAGTCAAAATATTCGTACAGTATTCATACTGCAGCACCTTCCACCCACCCTTTGGTCGCTTGAACTGCCCTTCTTTGGTTCTTTTTCCGCTTTCTCAGATCTTTCTTGAAGTGTAGTAAGCAGAACTGTACTGGGTATTCCAGCTGCAGTTTGGTCTTAAATAAAAGAAGGATGTTTGTCAGTTTGGTTTTCTTTATTCTTCTCTGTGGTATACAGGATTTTGTTAGTTGAACTGGATGTAGCAGCTTACAGGGCCAAATTTTCAAGAGAATAGTATAATAGTTCCCAGGTCTTTTCCCTGGGTTGTAACTTAACAGCTCATACTCTATGTAGCACCTTTCCTTTCTCACTGAAGCATTATCTGTCATTATTCTTCTTGCTTACTTGGCTTCAAAAAAAAAAAAATGCAGAGATCTTAAGCAAAGAGAGGTGAAGTGTCAGCTCTCACTTGAGTCTTGATATGTTCTACTCCAATACTGAGCCGTGCCAGACACACAGTAGATACTCAATAATTATGGAACTCAACTATGTAACCCAATATTAAAGCCCTGTATAAGGATCCTTAAGTATCAGTAGGATCCTATCTATCATGGGTTCAACTATAAAATAGTCCCTTTGAAGCTATGTTATTTAGGTATGTCACTTTAGAAATAACATATAAGGTTCTCAAGAAAACAGCATGAGTCTAAAAATAAGTGACACAAGTAAAAAATAAAAACGAAACCACTACTTCTAATTCTATACAGACAGAAAAATTAAACGGGCTACTTCCCCAATCTACTCTAATTACAGTCCATTTAAAAAAAAAAACATCTAAGGATCCGGCTGAGCTCAAATCCTGGATCTGCCTTTTACTGCTTTTTCTTTGTGCCTCCATTTCCTTATCATCTGTTACACGAGAAAATAAAAGTATCTTTCTCATAGGGTCTCCTGATGAGTAAATGAGTTAACACATAAAGCTTTCAGAACAGTGTCTGGCACATCATAAATACTCAATAAATATCAGCTATACTTGTCATTATAAAGCAGCTTGAACTCAAACCACAAAACACCTAAACCAGTTCCCCACAGTGATTATCACTTAATATTAAGTGCTCACGAACATTCAATGCAAAAATATTTCAAATCACGCCATAAACATAAGGCCCAATCCATCTTGTTTAGGATGGGGAAGAGCAGAATTATTGGTCCATCTAATAATGAAAATATAAACTTAAAATTAGCTAACTCAAATTTCATTTTAATGCGTATCTTAACACTACCAATAACCTCTGTTATTTAACCCAAGGGGTTTAATAAGCAATAATGAAACAACTCTGACATTACATAAGGAATTTTTAAGTACTACGTAAAAGATGTACCTTTCTGGCAGGTTCTATCATTTCCAAAGTAAAACCTGTGCCTAGTGCAACACTGATTTAAAATATTCCTAAATCCGTTGTTATTGTATAATCTCATTCAAAACTATAATAATTCCAGTTAATCATTATTTCCTTCATTTTGTTTTTATTATAGCATGTTTGCTTAATTTACAGCAAGCAGAAAATAAGCTGGGTCTTGTTTTGATCCAAACATTGATGTTTTAAAGGTTGTACACAATATTTGTTAAAAAGAACATATAAAAATACCTTTTTAGAAGCTTCTATAAGAAAGAAAATACAAAGTTTAACCCCACAACTTTCCTCTTTGCTAGAACTGCAAACTACTGCTACAGTTTTAAATAGACTTTTTGTAGTTTAAACTATACATCCAGGAAAATCTAAAAAAATTAAAGAAACGTGCATATAAATGATTGCATAGCAGAACATGAACATTAACTGCAAACAGTAAAGAAATGAAAGTTAGAAATACTATCAAATATACAAAGGTTCTAGAATCAATCCTTTAAACACATTCCACAAACAGTATTTAAAAACCACCTTTTGTTCTTTACAGGCAAGGCCTAGATTACTAAAACCAAAATTGAAAAAAGTAATCCTCTAAAAGGAATGGTTTCCCTAAAATATTTCTTACTTATTATGCCTGTAAGCAAGCAATCTAAAAATTTTAAGGATGCCAGCTTTTATTCTGAAATGAGATTGGACACGTCAAGTCACTTTTTATTGCCCCCAAATGGTCTCGCAGAGAGATGTTAGAAATTATAAAGAGTTAGGGTATTATTTTCATCAGGTACTACATGGATAATCAGTCAAAACCTCAAGAGATGTGACTTCCTTAAAATTAGTTTTTTCCAGAATTATTTAAAATCTCATGGCACCACAGAATCACGTAGAATGGGAGTGTTGTCTTTTTACTTGCCTCACATTAAATAAACTGAGGCGTGAAGAACAAGCCTCCTTCATAAAGATATGGGCAAATTTTGATACAAATGCACACACCAAGTGCTTTAAGTATCAAAATTCAGTCCTTTTACACTATGCGCACACACAAACAAAACCTACTTTGAAAACACTTTACTTGCTTTTAACAGCAGTGAGAAAACTAAGCAATATTATGGTCAACAATGCTCCTTAAAGTTTAGAGTAACTGCATAAGAGCATTCTTTTCCCCTTAAAATTATTTCTGCCATCATCAACCTGCCCAAATTTTAAGGTGGGTTTTTCCGATGTTTGTATGGTTCCAAATCTTCACAGAAACCAGAAAAGTGAAGGCTCCGTGTTTCAATCAAAAACGCCATCTCCCTGAAAATGCTACTTAACCCAGTTGGCGTCATTCCCCGAGACAGTGGGGTTAACAAAAGAACTATTCCACACTGTGCCATAAATTGTCATCGTGGGTCTCGACACCTTGACAAGACAAAAAGGTCCACCCTGAACCTAAATGTGTCTAGTCGGGTCAGTGTTGTACGGTGGCTACAACTTCACTTTTGTATCATTCTACCTGATTAGCAAGCTACATTTCTAGGTTAACAGTTCTACCAAATATGGATATGAAAGTTTATTTTTAATAAGACAATGTTGCAAATTATGGTCAACCAACATCTTTTCACCAATACCTCAAGCATTAAAAAATGAGAATCTTTACAAAAATATACAGAGACACCACAAATTGGTAGCTGCCCATAACATTAAACAAACTGGACTCTTAAGAGTGGCTTCTCAACAGCATATCATTTTAATAATAACCATTGCCTGGTACAGGGAAAACTGACAAGTGTTTTTTTAAGCATCATTGCAACATTGTATTCCTGATAATTTAAGTAAACCAAACTATGAGAGTAAATGAATGATACATGCCTAAAAATATCATGGTTTATACTATCAGTGGCCACTGGACTTAGGACTAGTCCAAGACCTTGATCTAGATTTTGACCTAGACCTAGACTGTGATCTTGACTGAGATTTGGATCTAGGTGGTTCTTTTTTCCTTGATTCCTTTTCATATCTTGAGCCAGACTTATAATGTGTTTTGGAATCTGTTTTAGAGGTGCCTCTAGTTTTGGTGTGAGATGCAGACCTAGAACGTGATTTAGCCTTCATTTCTTTCTTGGGCTGGGACTTGGACCGTGATCTTGAATTGGATTTAGATCTTGAAAAAGATCGATTTCGGTGTTTGAATCTTTCAAAACAGAGGAGAGATACAATTAGAGTAAAAATTAGATTCTATATTAATCAAATTTGTTATTTTTAGAGCAAAAGTTCACTCTGAAATTGATATGTATAGTCTTTTTCAAAGCAAAGTTATTTACCTATCATTGTCGGAATGGCTTCTGCTACGCCGTGGTCTTCCAGTCGGTCTACTGCTAAAAAGTACATCAGAAAAAGCAAACAGTGACACATGTCTATTTACAGGTTTCTAATTTAAAAAATGAACCATAAAACTTTTAAAATAAAGCACTAAAAATATTTTTAGTTTCAATGAAGCATGAAATATACATAATTAAAAGTATACAAGAAGATTTTAAAAAATTAAAGGCCAACAAACTAAATCTTTTCTGTGGTACACATCACTTACTTTCTAGGGCTATAAGATCTTCTATAGTTGTAATCAAAGGAACGACTTCTTGATCTCCTTCTTTCATAACTTCGGCTTCTAGAACGTCTGTATCTGTCATAGTCATCATAGCGTGAAGAACTATACACATTCCTCCCTTCCTTGGCTTTCATCTGATTTGGAGCTATGAAATACATAGAACAGAAATATTTACAAACATTAAAAACGTAGTATTTAAGCCTCCAAATTATAGGAAAAATTCCTGCATCTCCTTCCTTTATGTTTCCAAATCTGTGGCTACTTGTGAATGTTAATCTTGGAAAAGGTATTTACTTTCAAGCAAGTCTATCAGAAGACTGTTTTATGTTAAAAATGATACCCTCAAATATCTCCCCAACTATTTTGTTTTTTCAAAGACCTCTCACATCTAGTTTGTTGTCCAAAAATATGCCAACTACTTGGACATTAGGAAAATATACCATGAAAGTATTTTTAAAATTCCAAATTAAAATACAAATGACTTTTGAACCATATGCTAATTTGGAATTATCCTACCATGGTTTCCATTCAGTAGGAACAAAATTAACAATGACAAAATACTTAATGGTGGCCTACGAATGATATGTAATGTCAAAACGCAATAATATAGTCATACAGTTCTGAGAAACCGTGACAAAGAAAAGCAGAAGAAAACTAACACTTGTCGAATGCCTTAGACATACCCACACCCCGGACAGTCCTCAATCCTTATGTTATCTCATTCAATCCTATGAAGCAGATACTTTATGCATATGTGTATGAATGTATAAATAACACTGACTACCCAGGAACCTATCATTCAACCCAAGAACTAGAGAATCACCAACCACTTGTGTCTACCTAAGTACTCCCTCTCTCTTTAGCAGCTTTTTTTTCTTCCAGCAGTTATTTTAATCTCTATCTTTTAATATCTTGCCTAAGGAAACGTAACAGTTGAGCCAGAATTCAAACCCAGGTGTATCTGACCCCAAAGCCTGTACTTATGCCTCATTAGCATGCAGCCAACACCTGGTGTATGCCTGCATTATTAATAAAAACCAAGTACTAATAGAAAATCTTTTCTAAATTTAATCTATATAGTCTTTCCCAGTCTATCTTTTCATTTCTACAGCCAGGCACCTACATAATTACCCAATTACACCTTGATGATCTTTATGCAGAAGGGAAATGGCTCAAGAGAACCAAAACTTTCCAAAGTTTATTCTTTTCAATTCCACTCTTAGTATATTAAACATGCCACAGCTGATGGTACTGATCTACCTTCTTAAAGAGTCCAAACATATCTCAGGCATTCTGATCGCTGCATTCTAAGTCGTTTGTCTACTCTGAAATTCTGCAAAGTATTCAAGATACTCTATCTTCCCAAAAACTATCTTTCTGGGTTTTGAACAGAGAGACATATTGCACAATACTTCCAAGAAGCACTCTCAGAACAATTTGTATAAATATGATGTATTTCCGCGTGCCACAACTACTGAAGCCGGTGTGCCCAGAGCCCGTGCTCCGCAAGAGAAGCCACCGCAATGAGAAACCCACGCACTGCAACAAAGAGTAGCCCCTGCTCACCGCAACTAGAGAAAGCCCACGCGCAGCAACAAAGACCCAAAGCAGCCAAAAATAAATAAATCGGCTGAAAAAATAAAATTAAAAAATAAAATTAAAAAAATCTGTATTTATGTCAAACCTAACCTCCCAATTCATCCCACCCTCCACCCTTTCCCCTCTTGTGTCCACACGTCCATTCTCTACGTTTGCATCCCTATTCCTGCCCTGCAAACAGGTTCATCTGTACGATTTTTCTAGGTTCCACATACATGTGTTTCTCTTTCTGACTTACTTTACTCTGTATGACAGACTCTAGGTCCATCCACATCTCTAGTGGGAACTTGTGGTATAGCACAGGTAGCTCAGCTCAATGCTCTGTGATGACCTAGATGGGTAGGATGGGGGTGGTGGTGGTGGGGGAGGCCCAAGAGGGAGGGGATAGATGCATACACATAGCTGATTCACTCTGTTATACAGCAGAAACCAACACACCTTTGTAAAGCAATTATAATCCAAGTAAAAAAAATATATATATATACAGAAAAAAAAAAGAAATGATGCATTTTACATATAGGCATAAAGGTACTTACTCTTTCGATCCCCCTGTGCAAACTGTATTTCAATTTGGCGTCCACAAATCCATTTTCTGTCCAAATTATGTAAAGCATCTTCTGCATCACGAACATCCTCAAATGTGCTAAATGTTAAGGGGCTTGGGAAGTTTTGCAAACTTTGATAATGAATGAAAGTTCAGTTGGTAAGTCTGGAACAATTCACAATCTCTCGATATTATTCTAGAAAATCAACCAGACCCCACTAACTGGTTGGTTGATTCAGCTATAAACACTTTAGAGTATTAAAGCACTTGTGACTCCGTAAGGCATGAGTTTGAAAACACTTATGAATACATATTATGAAGTTATTACTGAAATAAGGCCTGTTACAGCTGAACTACCAAGTAATCCCATCAGAAGATTTTCCTGAGTTTTAAGAATTTTACAAAACAAGACAAAAAAGAAAAACAAATGTCAATTTTATTTTGTATGCTAAAGCAAAAATTGCTTAAAATAAAACCAAAACTGTTTTTCTGTTTTTGTTTCAAATGAAAAAAAGAAAATGCCAATAGTTCTTGTGTAAGCAAGCGGAATATACCTTACAAGAAACGAAAGCATCAACCTCAAATTAATCTTCCTATTTTTCTCAGACATATCTAACATTATTATTTCACTTAGCTGTCTTCCTTATTACACCTTACTGGGAAGACTGGTACACCAGCCACTTGTAGATATCAAGAGAGTGTCAAGCAATACTTAAGACATATTATATCCATGCACAGACCATAAAAGCATGCTGCCAAGAAATAACAGACCATTTCTAAAGATTCCTGGACTGGAAAGCCCTAACCATGACACCGAACATAAAGCTTCCCGAATTGAAGTGCGTTTGGGACTGGTTTTCAATTTGAGAAATTTCAAGATAGTATTTATAAGCCTAAAGCAGGAACCGCTGGTACCCATTTTTGATCTGAGAGGCTGTTGCCTTGTTCTCCCCAAACAAAGTTATTCTGACCAAATTTAGTTCCTTTCCTAAAACCACCATTCTAACAGAAGCCAAGCACATATTCAGAGCAGTGTTTGACATAAAAGCTTCTGAAGGGGAGCTAGGCTAGGTTTGGCTGTGGATTTTCATTCTGTACTAAAATTCACTATTCTAACTTGTCCATTTCTATTTCTTAAATTTGAGAGGAGTGCAGATCTTGAGTGCTGATTAAAAAAATCCCTGAAGCGATATACTCTCTTCAAGACTGATATTAATATTCTTTTACTCCAGAGACTAAAAGGTCTGCCTCACTAGATTTCCTATTTTTTGTTCTGGAAGGACTTAAAGAACACAACAGGGTCCCAGTTCTCTCTCTCTGAGGCTATTATGTGTAATGAACGAGAGCTTTTCTCAAGTCCTAAATCACGAAGTTTTCATCATGAAAAGAAAAAGGTTGACGGGGAGTTTAGAACCTTGAACGCTATAATCAACCACCCCTCCAGGTTAATGCAGTTGGGCTCTAAAATAACTGAAAAGAACAAGTTCATTTAAAGGGTATACTACTTTGATACTTTGAGAGACAGAATAACTTCTTGAAGGATTCAGACCAAGAAGTATAAAAATTATTTATGAGAGCCTATCATCCTCTGGGGCTACCCTCAAAAACAGAATCCGGGATTGGATGAACCATGGCAAGGTTCTACCAGACCTGTTAAGAGAAAGCTAGCTGGGAATGGGGTCAGATAGAAGAGAGGACCACAGCAGGGACAGTCAAATATCATTCTGATGCCAGTTACGGATAAATCTGTACTCAGGGTCTTTGCGAAATCCTGATACCTATTTCTTTTTAACTACTTGAAGACCACAGACAGACTTTGTGTATAAAAATAGCTATAATTCACCTTGAGGCTCCTTTGGTTAACTCTTTCCTGGCTCAAGTATCACATACTCTTCAAACTGCTGATCCTGGTTCCCAGGCCACCCCCAAACCAGGTAAAATCAGGCCAACACATTGTAAGCCAGAATGTACCATTACTTTTTTTTTTTTTTTTTTTAAACCAAGCCAGATATACCTCTTATCCTCTCTGTAACAGAGCTTTGCAACCAATTCCCACAACTGTCCTTGATGACTGGGCCTGCAGGAGTAGCAGCTTTTGGCATTTCGCCTAAGTCTCATTAGAACTCTGCTAAGTTTCAAGAGATCCACTGAATTTAAGCAGTAAGAATTTTTCCTAGCCTGAAGTCCACAGCCCAAACCTTTGTTGCCACAAGGAGATGATCTCACTGAAGGAAGTAATGTCACCTGAAACTCTGGGCCAAGGAACAATTTCCCATAGATCCTGATTATGTACCCATACCAAAGATAAGGCCCCTTCTGCAACCCATTCTGGGCCAACTGATCACATGTGCTAAAGCAGTCAGGGCCAGCAGGTTTCACAGAGCTAAGTTTCAGATGTTAGGACTACGTGCATGCCCCTAACAGCCCTTTTAAAAAATCTATAAACAGACAGTATCTCTAGTGGATCTGACCTTAGAAAACCACCAGAGCCATTTCTAAGTAGTCCCCAGTGCATGCACCTGTGTGCCCTCTAAGCATGGCTCTATGGAGTCGGCCTGACTCCAGAACTTCATGCTACTCCAAAGAGCACTGCCTGCTACGCTATGGCACCGGACCACTTGGTCCAAAACAGAAATATGCTGAGTTTAAGCTTAACAACATTACATCCTGGTACACTTTAACTTCACAAGCTAAGAGAGAGTGCATTTATACAAGACCACATCACAACATCAAAAAGGCCCATGTAGATCAAGTTACAGGTTTTGTCACTAGACCAAACCAGAATAATTTTGAAAATTAACTGCTTACAAAACATGAGGAGAAAAAAAAAAAAGGAAAATAGTTATTCTGTAGGATACATCAGGTATGACTCCTTTAATCTTGGCCATCATTCAACTTCATCTTGACCTTTAACTCTTTAAGTGCTTGTCAGAAGGACTTGTCATGAGATGCTTGGCCAAATATGACAGATGGCTTTATCTTTAACTTTGAAAAACAACCTTTTCCCCCTTTTGTAGATAAAGCGAGGCTTTGTCTCCCATTAGGCTTGTCCTTCTTCCAGCTTTTCTTTATATTTTCTTTTCCCAAACTCTCCCTTCTCTTCAAGCCTGATCCTTAAGAGGTCTTTGGCTTGTCTACTTGCCTTAAGTGTTGAACTCTACTCTAAAGGTTCTTTCATGCTTTCTCTTTGGGGTCGCCATAACTGTACAGCTTTACATTCTCTGAGGTAACAACAGAGGACAGCAAATTAGGGGACAATATTAAAGAAGTTTACCTCATTGTTATACAATTTGTTTTTGATCAAGTGATTCAAGTTAACAAACAAGAATACCAAACTTTAATTGCTAAGCACAAGAACATATTAACTTTTGAGTTACATTAAAGGTGGTAGCAACCAGAGTGTATTCAGATTTAAATCACATAATCACTGATTTGAGTTTCAGCAGCATGAATGGGAATTTAAATATTTTACTGTTTTTGGATCAACTTTAAGAAATAGTAAGAGCAATGTGTGAGTCAGAATTAACTTAGAAAAAATTGAAGACAAAACATTTATTAGAAGACAAAAAAAAACAACTACTTTTTAGATGTTACCTCTTACAAAAACTTGAATTTCAAACTTCAACACCCCTCACTAATCAGCCATCTGAAGAAAGGATATTGAACATATGCAAATCCTCTTGGACGGCGAGTGTAGAAATCAAGTGGAACATACACATCAACTATAGGACCATAACGACCGAATTCGCGTCGTAAATCTTCAGACCTAAAACATCATAAAAAGAGGCCAAATTTTTAAGTCCACTCCTTTAAAAGTTACTTTGTAAGAAATAGGTTTCTTTCCGTAATATCTCAATTAATGAAAGAGACTGTGCTATGTTCCTGGGTGACCTGAAACAAACAAGCTTTCTAAATCTCAACATCAAGAGCCAACGGTAAGAATATACAACAATGTCTTTTTGAAAAAGAAAAGCCAGAATGCAAGATTCTGAAAAATAACGCAGTTTATAATAAAACCTTAACAACAGGAAAAGACATTGGAAACTTGACTACAACTTATCTCTATTGCTTTTATCCACAGCCTTCATTTTTCATAAATAGTATAGTAGCATTAAGTTGTACTTAACTACTGCTATGTTTTTTTTTAAACAGTATCAAAGCAACTCTAGTATTCTGAAAAATACAAAGCACTTATTTTACCTCCAAATTTTAGCGACAGGGTTACACACTTAATGGTAGATACGGTTTGAAAAATAAAAGTCACAAATATATATAATTCCTCAATAAATGTCAATATGACATAAAGGGGAAAGTTTCCTAGACGCTACAGTAAGTACTATTGCTTACTTGCCCTACTTAAAGACAGAAAAATATAAATCATACGAGGCTACCTAATTTTTTTTTTGATTTGTGTGTGTAGAGTGATTATTTGTTAAACAGTAAATCTCATCTTGTGATAAGATCTCTTCAAAAAAGTCTGACGGCAACTCCAAGCAATTAAGGGAACTGGCGAGAACAAAGGGACGGTCCAGGTTAATCCAATTTAGCTATCAACGTCCTAATGGTAGAGGCTTCCTAAACCTCCGTTTTCAAAGGGTGGCCAGTATTTCCCGGAAATGGGAAGAACTAGTTCGTACCATTTAAGAGGAAGAATTTTATATCTTTAATCTCAACATTCCCTTTATCCAAACATCTACAACACCAAAAAAAAAAAAAAAAATCGCAAATAAAACACAACAAAAAGGGTAGCAAATGCTTCGCCACACTCCCCTCCCCCGATCCGTTATTTTACTGCAGAGCAGTTATTCTTTTTTAACTAGAAAAAAAAAAAATTCTGGGCCAAGGGGGCGTGCACCCCAAAGAACGTGAACTTCAAATCAATGGGGGGAGCTGATGTTCGGTGGAGGCAGAGGCTGAACGCCCGGAGAGGAAGCGGGAAGGAAGGGGCCCCCATCTGCGGAGGGGGAGGGGACCGAAACGCCGCCACGCGGCCCGCTCTCCCGCGGCTGCCCGGGAGGACCAGCGGCGCCGCCCTCGCTCCCACGCGGCGGTTATGCCGGCTGCGCGGCCTAGTTCGGGCCAGAAAGCCGGCGCGGGACCCGCCATCTTCACCCCTTCCCCTCCCCCGGCGCAGGCCCAGCGCGCCGCCGCCGCCACACCGGTCCTCTCAGAGCGCCCGCGGCCTCCCCTCTTGGGCCCGGAGTGCCTCCCCTGTACATACCTGGTATCGTCCGCCACGTTTCTTACGAAGAGAGACGTGTTGGGGGGACGCAGGTACCGGGACATGACGGCGGCGTGGGTCTCAGCAAGGACACTAACGGGCTCAGCAAACCGTCCGCAGCTCCGGCGCCAGATCCTCGAGACACACAGCCAGAGAGCTCCGCTACAGCAACCGCCTCTTCTCGCGAGAGTTCACTCCCGCCTCCCCCCACCTCCTACCTGAGTGCAACGCCGGGACCTGCAATGGTTCCTTCCCGCGAGATCACGCGGCGTGCGCCTGCGCATGCGGGCGGCGGGAGTACGTGCTGCAGCCTAGATCTCATTCATTGGCTTCTTGAGCTGCCTCCCCTTCTCCCGCTAGCCCGCTCTTTCTTTCTTAAGTGCTTTATTTTGCCGCCCTTTTCTCCCGTGCACCGCGTTCTCCCCTCCTGACCGCCCCCCCGCAAGTCAGGAAGCAGATGTTTTAACCTGTACACCACACTGTACAGTTTTTACAAGCTATACTGAGTTTTAAATATTATAATCCGGAGGGACAGGCTTTCCCCTGTCTGGTCCATGTTATAACCTGGCTTTTATCAGATCTCACATCGGCAAGAGAAGAATTTACGGCCTCTCGTGTTAGTGTGAAAGGGAAGGAGGTGTGTGTCCTTGCAGAGATAGGCCTGCCTCCCCAGTGCTTTCTGCACGCGGTGGACTCACTCCCTGAGCGCCTTTGCCCAGGTCGCCCCTCGCGTACACCTTTCTTGGTTGTTTCCTTCACCCATCCACGGGGTTTTCTCCCCATTAAAGGCTGTTCCCTACCAAAATGGGACGCAAACCTCACATCTTAGTCTCCATTGTCATCTACACTGTCTTTGTTGCTAACGGCTTCCTGAGTGTGCATTGTTCATGTATTGCAGTGTTTCTCCATCTATTAGAATGCTTCTGGCATGTAGCACATTGCCAAGCAGATAGCAGGGACTCAAGAACTGTTTAAATTAACTTTTATTTTACAAAACGACAAAAAAGCATTATTTTTGCATCAATCCGCATCCGTAGCAATTAAGTGATTTGATAATCTGTTGTGCTCTTTAGGAGAGACATTGTTTTTCTACGTTTATATTTTCCAAGATGCTTTGGACACTTGGTTTGTTAAAACATTTATCGATTACCTATTATGTGTCAGACATTACGTTAGATTTTGTAAATTCAGTGGTGAAAAACATGGAGCTTATGATTCCGTAGGAAACAAGCTGGTCAACAAGTAATTGCAGATCTGTGATATGAAAGAGACAGTAATGTGACAGTTTAAAAAAAAAAACAACTTTTGTTTTAAAACGAAGAGTTGCTGAACAAGTGTTTCCTTACTCCCCCCTCCCAAATTAATTTAAGCACTTTTTAGTGGCTAGAAAACAGACTCCTGTAAATTACCCTCAGTAATGAGGAAATGAATTCAGTTTGGTGGTACTCCACCCAACTTTAATATGGATAAATGTTTAGAGCAGAGTCTGATGCATAGCGAGTGCCCTATAAATGTTAATCAGACTGGCTACATAATCTGTGGGGCTCAGTGCAAAATGAAGACGTTCAAAAATTAAGATGACAATAGCAGAGCACTAAGCCAAGTGCAGGGTTGTTCCGAGAGTGGGGTCCCGTGCAACTACACAGGTGGCACGGCCATTGAAGCCTGCCCAGAATGTTAGCAATTATTATTATTACTCATAATGCCTTGAGAAATAATAAGAGCAAGTGAGGTACAAATATTTACTCACTGGAATCACTTTCTGCCTCACATACCAAGTGCCCCTTTATCTTTTGTGCTTTAGTATCCCAGTCTTGAAAAAGATGATACTGGGAAAAGTAGAGAAAGTAAGCACCGCTCAGCTGGGGCTTGAGCTGGGCAGTTTACCAAACTCTAAATCTGCTGCAGGTGGTAGTGGGAGCGCGTGAGGCAGGTGGGGAGGGAGGTACACCAAGGAATTTTGGAAGTAAAACACTTCCTCACAAAAGTTCTGCCATGTGGGGTTAAGAGCACCGTATTTCATTCCGAGCACAATACCAAGGTTGGTAATTTTTTTGAAAGCCAAATGTTAATCTCTGAAAATGGTCTGTTGGCACTGCACCTCTTCTTGAAGAAATTATGTTTTATTGGGATTTATGTCAGAAAACCACTTTCCTTGCGTACTGTTCTCAGAATTGCACAAGTAAGACCCGAGTGTAAAATATATACCTATGAATTTCCTTGATCCTAAAACAGCTCTTTCCTGATTTGTGGGCGATAGTACAAACATCACACCTGAGAGGGCCGTGCTGCTAGCTAGAGGGAGACTCACAGGGACAAATTCTGTGTGTTAAAGCCATGGAAGTATGAGCCCGTCTCCATAGACAAAACCAAAACCTTGAGTCAGTACATCAAGCTTAATTTTATTGCTAAAACTGTTTGATTCAGACAATTGCCATGGATGGTGCTCGACACTGCCTCTGTCTCCATGAACAAACAATCAATTAGAAGCCTGCTCTTTAAATGCGTTTAATAAGACATGCCTGGTGTTTCCTAGATGCCTTCTCACTCTAATGGGTAGGCAGCAAGCCAGGTTCCCCAGACTGAGGACTCAGTGAGACTGACAGTATTCCCTTTTAGACATTCCTTACTTGTGGGTCAGAAACTTTGAGGCACATACATAAACACATTATCAATTTACCTATGTACAGACTCTTCTTTTAACCTCAGGCTCCCACTAGTTCTGCTCTGTGGGTGAATTCACCACTACGGCACATACTTGTTTATCTTATTCCTTAGATGATCTATTCTAGCACGTGGATTGCTACCTTGAATATGCTTAAGGTAAAAATCACTTGTTATATCTTAGCCTACTTTTTAATGTCTTAAAATAACATTTTCCCCAGTTATAAATGTCCTGTGTTTATTGTTAACATTTTGGAAATGAACTATAAAGACAGCAAACATTACCTGTGATCATACCACTCAGAACTAATTACTTCTAAGACTTTTCTGAATTTCTGAGCATTTCTATAATTGTTTAAATTGGGGTCATACTATATATACAGTTTTATAATGTGTTTTCTTCCTCACTAAACATTTTATAAAGACTTATCTTCTGGGGCTTCCCTGGTGGCACAGTGGTTAAGAATCTCCCTGCCAATGCAGGGGACACAGGTTCGAGCCCTGGTCTGGGAAGATCCCACATGCCATGGAGCAACTAAGCCCATGTGCCACAACTACTGAGCCTGCACTCTAGAGCCCACATGCCACAACTACTGAGCCTGCGTGCCTAGAGCCCCTGCTTGGCAGCAAGAGAAGCGACTGCAAGGGGAAGCCCGCGCACTGCAAGGAAGAGTAGCCCCTGCTCACCGCAACTAGAGAAAGCCTGCGTGCAGCTACAAAGACCCAATGCAGCCAAAACTAAATAAATAAAATAAATAATAAATTAAAAAAAAAGAATTATCTTCCCTGGCCATTAGATAGTTTTAATAGGTAGAGTTTTTGTTTGTTTTTTGCGGTACGCGGGCCTCTCACGGTTGTGGCCTCTCCCGTTGCGGAGCACAGGCTCCGGACGCGCAGGCTCAGCGGCCATGGCTCACGGGCCCAGCCGCTCCGCAGCATGTGGGATCTTCGCGGACCAGGGCACGAACCCGTGTCCCCTGCATCGGCAGGCGGACTCTCAACCACTGCGCCACCAGGGAAGCCCAATAGGTATAGTTTTTAATCACTGCTGTATCAGTTATGAATTGGGTTCAACTGCCTGTAACAAAAACTTGAAATAATAATAATGTTGATCATGTTAGCTTACACTTATTACTGAGCACTTAAATGCCAGGCATTTTTCTCACAAAAGAGCAAGGGAAATGGCTCAAGAAGTAGCAGAATGTTACAACTTTCAGAGGTCATTCTGCTCATAGTTTTCAGTTATTTTAAGTCACATATATTAACCCATTTAATTCTCACTCCAAACCTATGAGCTAGGTTACTATTATTCTTTCCATTTTATAGATGAGGAAACAGGTATACAGAGTGGTCAAAACAATTTAGAGTTTCTTATTTATTTTATTTATTTATTTATTTTATTTACTTACTTATTTATTTATTTTTTGTATAATGAGAAGTCAGGAATAGGGAGTCCAGGACTGGTATGGCAGCTTCAGGATATCCAGGCTCCTCCTTCATTCTTTCTTCTCTGTTATCCCTAGTGCTGGCTTCTAGACTCAAATTGCCTCATGGTCACAAGATGGCTGCTGGAGCTGCAGGCATCATGTCTACAGTCCAAAAAAAAAAAGAGTAGGACAAAGTTCAAAAGGCATATGCTAGCTGAATCACCACCCACCCCCCACACTCAAGGAACTTATTAAGTTGGAGACAGCAATACCCACTTATACTTAATTAGCCAGAACTGAGTCTTGTAGCCAACTCTATCATCAAGGGAGGCTAACCACTCTTATTCTCAACAAAAGTAGAATTCTGTTTGTAAGGAAGAAGAGGGAAAGGAAAGATGTTGTGGATACATTAAAAGGGTACATTTCATTACATGGTTGTAGCATAATTGATTTATGTAGAAACAGTGATGATGATGATGATGATGATGATAAAAGCTAACACTGAATAAGAACTAACTACATGCCAGATACTGTATTTATCATCTTATCTGCACTATCTCATTTAATCATTTAATCCCCATTCTACAGATGAAGAGACTGAACCTTTGAGACATTATAAGGCTTTCTGACAGTATATAAGGCTGAGGGAATAAAAGGTAATTTAAGACAGTTCCTGTGTTTTCAAGGAGCTCTTAAGCTAGTGAGGTACACAGTATTTGTAAAATTGAGTTTTAGGTTAGTTTTACATGGTTCATAATTGAGTTATCTTAATTTTAATCAGATTAGTTTTATATCATCCAAGATGCCCATCAATTACTATCCAGTCCCAGAGAGTAACAATAGGCCAAGTAAAAAAACTTGCTTACAGGTATCTATACCTTTTATGAGTGTCACTGAGCCTATAGTCAGAGACTGTTTGAAGCACAACACACAAATAGACAAACATAGTTAACTTGACTAAGCTTTGGGGTGCCAGACATTCAGTCAAACATCATTCTGTGTGTGTCTGTGGAGATGTTTTGGGATGAGATTAACGTTTGAACAGGTAGACTGAGTAAAGCAGGTTGTCCTCCCTAACGTGGGCAGCCTTC